ACTTCACATTGAGCCAAGGTTTCCTTAAAGATATGGACCCTCCTAAAAGGGTAGTGACAATACGTAATTTTGACAACAGTATAATTTTATCCACACTCTCTTCTAAAACAAGTCTACATTATTTCACTTTTCTAAAACAAATCTATACTTATTATTTCGTTTTTCTAAAACAAGTCTACATTTATTATTTCATTTTATCTTCACACACATAAAAATATTCTATGCAGGAGATTGATAATTAGAGGACTAATCACTAATCCCATTTTACAGAGGAAAAGTAAGGCATGAGAGTCAAAGAAAATCCTCTAAGCACACAAGAAGTTAGAAGAGCCAGATCAAGCAAAACTGCTAACCTTGGTAAATAAAGGCCAACATAGCAATATGGGACACAACTAAAGTTTGCTTCTACAGACTGATAGAAACAGAATCATGGCTAGGAACAGAGAAGACAATACAAGATATGGTTCACTGCCACAAACATTTATCAAGTGCTGGTTATGTGTTAATCTTTGTTAATCATGGCTACAGTCTCCACTTTGGGACTGTTGATACTCATAAAGCATAGGGAAAAATAAAAATAAAATCTGAAGCCACAACCTTGAAAAGATAGCCAGTTTTCTGTATCAAAGACAGGACAAAAACAAATACACTGAAGAGATGGTCAGGGTAAATACGGTGTTGAGTAGAAGAGAAAAGGAGTTGCTATGGGACCTCACATCTGGACTTGGAGGAGTGGCTATCACCAGTCAGTCAAGAATGGGAGGGAAGGAAGAGTACACAATAGAGAGCCCTCCTGGAGCTCAACAGCACAAAGAGCTGCTGTTATCCATGTTGGGTGTGTGTTTGCCAGAAATATCAGGGTTGCTGGAACTCCAGAACTTACAAGGGCATGCTTTTGTGTAGTCTAAATTACCTTGACTATATAAAACTCAAGTCAGAGGGCATAACTTCATGATCCATTTGTAGCCAAGAGATAACCTGATTAGAGATCATAAATTCTCTGGTTTTTTTCCTTCAATTTTAAGAAGCATTCCTAATAAAAAGTTTACCAAATTGTGATCACAAAACTATTTATAAATCAGCCTTTCAAGAAAAAGAAAAGAGAATTATATTTCCACTTAAATTGGGTTTATATATGATATTACTTATTAATTTTAAGTGACTTTTCTAAGATTTAAAATAATAGCAAATAACCATTACAATAGGCAAAAAATATAAAAACCCTACAATTAATTTTTTAAAAGCCTATTGAAAATTTTAGTGTACTCGTCATTAGCATTGCAACTGACCTCTCCTATATGTCCATCTTATAGTTTAGCGTGAAAGCACAGAGGCAATAAGGCTTCCACAACTACATTTAGAAAACAGTTGGCAACACAGCTGAAAAAAACTATTACTCACTCTGTACAAAAATCAAAGAAATGCAAACCAAGACAAAGGGATAGAATTTAATGCTGATCAGATTAATAAGAATAATTGACTGTTTCCAAATAACAAAAATGCATATATAGTTGTTAATAATCAATATACTCTTTTGATAACCCTTTTAGAAAATAATTTCCTGGAAATTTTCTAATAAAAATAAGGGTAATATTTCTATGTGTTTTTATGTGTTATGGTTTTTTTTTATCTTAACAATTTGTAGAGAGCTATTACTATATATTACAGATTAGAAAGCTAAAGTTCTGAGAAAATAAATTACTTGCTCAATATTGCCAATAAGTGATAGAGCTAGGTTTAAACTCAAAATTTCCAATTTCAGAGCACACTTTTACAGCAACACAATCCTGCTTTTCTACGAAAAAATCCTAAGTACTTTAAAAAAAGATGACATTCATGAGGATGGTCATTATATTTTTTAAAAATACTGGAAAATCCCAAAGTAGGAAGAGTTAAGTAAATTTGGGGATATCTGTTGTATAAACTATTATAAAATTATTATAAAGTAGTAAACTACTGAAAATTTTATGAAAAAAATCAGAATAAAATGTATCTGCAATAGACATCTATAAACATATATATTATATTCAGATTGGGAAGGGAGGTGCAAAAAATAAATATTATTGCCACTGAAGAATTTCACTATTGGTACTCAATTTTCTTTTGTTTTTTATCAGTTTTGTCAGCAAATCAAGCACTCTTACAAATCTATTCTTCTAATTCATATTTCTAGCATCCTAAACAATTTTTCAAACTTCACTATAATTTATTTGTTATAGACCTAATGAAAGTAATTACATAATATTTTAAAATCAGTGGTTCTGAAACTTTTCTTTAAGTATGGGATCTCCATCATTTTGTTGTTGTTCTAATTAGTTATACATGACAGCAGAATACACTTTGATTCATTGTACACAAATGCACAGTTTTTCACTTCTCTGGTTGTACAATCATACATGTACCTAGAATAATAGGGATCTCCATCTTAAGATCAATGATTTTTGCATGCAATCAGAATTTATAGTGTACTTTTGAAATTCCTTAATTAAGATCTTCCACAGTGACCAAAATTAGCAAATTCTTTTTACTTTCACAACTTTGTAGTCACTCCTAGACTCCTGCACCCAACCAGGAATCATCAGCCCAGAGGTTGTAGATGTTTTAAAGATTAGGAAAGTTTCCTACTGAACAAGATCTCTAAGTGCTTACAAAGTTAACTAAATATCTTAGCTGTAAGGGATATTCATAATCTCAATACTTTTAAGAATTGCTAATTAATTTATGTCAGGTGTCTCTGAAGTAGGTAAAATAAAATTTATTTCCACTTTAATAAAAAGAAAAGTAAGAGTTTGGTAAGAGTAATTTCCCTATAAATGGCACCATAAACTGTGAAGAGAATTCCCTCTTAGCTATATAAGGTGACATGCAGAGGCCCTTTCAGCCCAGGGGTTGGTCTCTATCAAGCAACATAAACAGACATTTTGTGGGAAAGTCAAGTAGCTGTTCTTCAATGATATCAAACTCATTAAAATAGAAATGCAGTTCAAACATCTCTAACCTCTTTATGATCTACCATTCAGAAGTTTTTTTTGTTTTGTTTTGTTTTTTGTCACACCACTGCCTAATATCCACAGTCCAAGTGGATTTTCCTTAGCCAGTCTTAAACTCCAATAGGACTATGTTGATCATAGAATTTTGGAGTTCTAGGACCTTTAAGGGACTGGGATCATACAGTAGCAGAGCACTTGCCTAGCACGTGAGAGGCACTGGGTTCGATCCTCAGCACCACATAAAAATAAATAAATAAAGATATTGTGTCCATCTACAATTAAGAATAATTAAAAAAAAAAAAAAAGAAGGGCCCTTAAAAACCATGTGGCTTAATTCCTTTATCTAAATGAGGGGAAAACAAAAGCATTTCCAAGAAAGTTATTGGCTAGTTTAAAGCAAATCCAGACCTGGAACTAAGAAATGTGACCAAACTCTTAAACTTGGCCTCCATATTTCTCCTGACTTTTCAAACACATCCATGGAAATATATACGTTCTTTCAATGTTTTCAGGTATACACTGCAGTGGACAGAATAAACTATAATTCTCATTCTCTATTTTATAAAGAGTTCCAAGAGAGAGGAAAAACTTCAACAAAGATTATAAAAAACAGAATCAAGAAACTGGGAGGGAGGAATAATTGTTTAATAGTTCTGCTTTCCACTGAACACTTGTTCTAAGATTTTTTCACACTCTAATTGATCTTCAAGGTAGTAAGTACCAGCCTAGGCCAAATAAAAGGTCCTAATTTCATCATGTGTTGATATCAAGTTAACAGTCATCACCATTAATATAGTCCAGTCTTATATTCAGTCCCTTTCATTCTTGATTTCCATAATGTATCTCCATTTTAATAGAAGTTTATGGGAAGTATACCTACAAGAAATTTACAACTGTGGTTGTCTCTGGGAGAAGTAGGGTTTGGAGGGATGGAAAGCTGGGGAGGTGGGGGGTGCTGGCTTAATTTGCCCTGTATTTTCTTCATTGTTGGCTAAAAAATTTACGCTATTCTTATTACTTTTCCACATTCATTAATTAAATTTTTCTTTCTCAATACACAACTGAATGCATACAATTTTATTACCACTTTCAATAGCACAACTATTTTCATTTTTCTCTTTTAAAGAAGATTTCGGGCAAAAAAAAAAAGGTTTCGGTATTGAAATTTGTAAAATCTCACAGAAATTTTCAGAGCAAAAAAAGAACCAACACAGTCGCAAAACTCAAGACAGAATTCCAGATTTAAAACATAAATACATAAACAGGAGTATGAGGTTTTTAAGGGGGGCGTTTAGTTCAAAAGCCTTTTGAAAAGGAAAAAAAAATTCTTTCCTGGTATTTAAATGGCAAGGCTTTAAAAAGGGGATTCCAATAGGGCCTCTCATCTCAAAGGGGGCAGTCATGGTGCAGAGAGTACAAATTAAAATTTGATTTCTATCTTATGAGCCTGGGACAGAGGACGGAGTGGAGTGGATAAGGACCTTGTAACAGTCACGTTCACCAAAGAAAGAAGCATGATTTAGGAGTTCCTCCAGGATTCGTCCTCCTCCTTTGGAGGCAGCAGATGAATCGTGTCCTGGGACGTTACTTGAGCTCGGATAGAGAAACCCGCACCGCACTGAATCCAAACACGTTAATTTTCATATAATGGAGCTCAGGGATTGCGGTCATAGATTGACTTGAACAAACCACCCATTATCACCCTCGCCTGGCCAAGGAACAGCTCGCCTCGCTGTCTACTTTGTGTGTCAGGGTCAGCTGTCAACACAACCCTTTGTGTCTCATTCAGAATAAGAGTGGTCCTCAGTCACTCAACAGAAGAAAAATGGAAATGACGGCCGGAAGACATGCGCGCGCGCTCGTGACGAAGTGACATTTGGCGTGGAAAAAAAAAAGAAAGAAAGAAACCCACGGACACAGAGCGAACGCCTGGCCACCTTTAGACGCTCTCAACTTTCCCAAGCCGAGCTCTAGCCATCCTCTCCCGGATCACGTCTTGTGTCCCCCTACCTGCCGTCCACCATTCCAGGGACCGCCTCACTGTCCCCCTGGGCTCCGGGAACCGGTCGGGGCGCACCCCTTCTCAGCCTCCACCTCGTTGCTTCTGGGCACTCTGCCGCGCGCCGCAGCCTCCCTCATCCCACGCTCTGTCTGTCCGGCTCCCGCCACAAAGGCAGCGAGTAGACCCCGGAGTGACAGGCCTTTGGCCTCCGAGCGCCGACAGCACGGGCTGAGTCCCTTCCGTGGACTGACGCCAAGCGGCGGGTGGAGGACGGGTGCGGGATTCGGGCTGGCACAGGCGCCTGCCCTAGCCACATAAATGCACTCGCGCTCACACCCCGCTTCACTTTCCAGTTCCTCTCGGAAAAGTCCCGCAGCGCTCCCCGGCGCAGGCAGGGTGTCCGGCCCGCCAAAGGGCAGCTCCTGAGAGGGAGAAGCCGTGCGCTGGCGCCGGCCTTGCGCCCTCTCACCTCTAGCCTCCCCGCACCCGCATCCGGGAGTCCCCCCAGCCGCTCACCTGGCCCTGGCGGGGTGCGAGGGCAGAGGACCGGGGGTGGCCCTCGCCTGGACCGGGCTGGTTTCCCCACCCCCAGTCCGGCTCCCAGCGCTGCGCTCCACTCGCTTCGGCCACCCTCCTCCGAGGTGCTAGCGCCGCCGGCGGCTGGCGTCTCTCTGGCAGGCTGGCTGGCCGCGCGCTCAGTTCCCCGGGGCGGAGCGAGGCGGCGGCCACCGCGGCCAGAGGCGGATTCCTCAGGTGCTGCCCCTCCCGCTCGCCCAGAACCTACACCGCGAGGACCCCCGCTTCCTCTCCCGGAGCCCCGCCTCTTGCCCTCCCGCAGCCTTGACGCCTGCGAGTGGCCTTTAAGTCCCCTCCTCGCTCCCCTCGAGGGTAGTGGACACACCGTTCCCCCCTCCAAACTCGCCCCCACCCATACTGGGGAGCCCTGGGTGCACTGTCCTCACGCCTCCATTTCCAAACTCCTCGCAGAGATGAGTGTGTGGGTGGCCACTGTGGGGTGTGGAGGTGGGGGTGTGCAGAGGGTCCCCTAGGAAAAAGGATTGCCGCCCCCCTGCCCCAGGGCTGCTGACGTGCGCAGCCAAGAAGAAAAATTATTTTCTAGCCGCGTCGGCGTTCATTCACAGAGTGCTCTCGCCTCATTGCGCGATTGCTTTCTCTGTTCACTGGACGGCGACTAAAGAACCTCAAGCGTGAACTCAGCCTGGGCAATGGTGGGTCAAAAACCCTTGGCCTTTTGCACGAAGGGAGGTAGGGCGGGGGCAGGGCGCAGACAAAACCAAACAAACGCGGGATCTCCCGGCCAAGCAGACTTTTGCACCTCCGGAATGAGCAACCCGAGGGTTGTCGGACTTCTGGCCTGGTGTTCACGCCAGCGCTTTGGGGACTCAGCGGCTCGGGGACTCAGCGGCTCGCCATGGCTGGTGCGGAGTTCTCCAGGGGGAAGCTCTGTCCAAGAGTAGCCCCTTCCATCGGGGCCTCGTCTTTATTGGGTAGTGCAGTGACAAACGTTCTGGAGGGATGCTGCTGCCGAATAGTAACAGATGTCACTCCACTTTTCACGGCTGACGTCTTTTGTATTAGAGATGCAATTCTATTTTCTTAAACCGTAATTGTTGCCAGGGATAGATGACTCCACCTTATGGAAGAAGATCCGAACTAGATGGATACAGAAATTATACAGAAAAGTTTCTCTCTTTTACTCAGCCTGTTGGTGGGAGTGAGGTAGGCTGCAGCAGCGCCTCCTCCCAAGTGGGTTGCTATCAGCGTCAAGTGTTAACATATCATTGTCAATTATTTAAAGACAATGTCAGTTAAACTTAGATCACATAATCTCTAAGTCAGTACTTTTGTTTGCTTGTCTCACTTTAAAATTTTTTCTCCAGAACCAAAATACATGTTTTTTTTTTCTTTTGTTTTCTATTGGTCGACATAGAAGGAATTGACTAGAAGTCTGTAATCACCAGAAAGTAACTCAAGGCATAGTTCAGTTATGATTAGCAAAAATAAAAGATTTGTTTGCAGTTTGGATTGTCTTCTCTCTCTCCCACGGTAGAAAGACATATTATTATTATTATTTGACGTTGGGATTAAGCCCAGAGGCGCTTTACCACTGAGTCACATCCCCAACCCTCTAAATTACTTAGAGTCTTGCTAAATTGCTGAGGCTGACTTCAAACTCTCCATCCTTCTACTTCAGCCTCCCAAGTCGCTGGGATAACAGGCATGGACCATTGCGCCCCACGAAGTGATTTTTTTTTAAATACTTTGCTCCTGTGTACTTAAGGAACCAGAATGTTTCTGTTGTTGTTTTACCGTTGGATTCATATTATCCGTGTTTTAAAAACACACAGAAACATTTTTAAGTGCCAGGAAGACCAGAAATATGGCTTTCTCAATCACTGCTATATCCCTACAGTTCTGAGTCTTGCACACAATGCAAACTTAGAATAAAATAAATGTTTTGAAACTAACTACAACATAGAAAGATGCAGATGATTGACAGTTTAAGTCATCAAAAAGGAATCCAATGTCAGTTGACAAAATCATCATGAGAACCGGCCTACACATGGAAAAGGCAGTAAATTAAAACTTGAGGTTCCAAGTTCACCTAGTGTATATAAATCAAGTTCATAAGAAGGCGTTAAAGAGAAAAAAACAGTTAAAACAGATGAGAAGCTTTTGAAAAACTCATTCCTTTACAAGGTCTGTAGAGTTGGAGGAGAGGAACACTTTCCATTTTAAAGATAAGAAAAAACAGTGCAGTTTTCCCTCAGTTTAGTTTAAGGACATTTTTTGAGTGCCAACCACATTGGACTCTGCAGATGTCACAGCAAATGTGGCATAGTAGTTCAGGATCTTAGTACCAGGATTCTGGTACTCATTCAATAAGCATCTATTGAACACCTACTGTGAACCAGATGGCTTAGTAAATCAGTAGTAGTAGTAAGTCATCAGTAAATAAGACTAATGGTTAAAAGTTGGTAATCTATTTACATCCTGGTAGACTGAAATAGTCCAATGTCACCTTTAATAGATAGCACACCCTGGTTCTGAATTTGTGCATATGCCTTATCTCCTCTTTGGTGTTTGTATATACCTCATCATGCCCACTAGTCTGTGGCGATTATAAACTATGTTAAGAATATGAGTGAACACTGGACATGGACGTCATAGATTTTAATCCTGACTCAACAATTACCTATTATGTAACCTTGACCAAGTCACTTGACTCCATTTCAGCATCCCTATTTATAAAATAACATCATAATAGGGGCTGGGGATGTGGCTCAAGCGGTAGCGCGCTCGCCTTGCATGCGTGTGGCCCGGGTTCGATCCTCAGCACCGCATACAAACAAAGATGTTGTGTCCGCCGAAAGCTTAAAAAAAAAAATAAATAATTCTCTCCCACTCTCTCTCTCTCTTTAAAAAAAAAAATCATAATAGTACCTACCTCGGGTAGTGGCTGTATGGATTGAGATCATTCATTCATTCAGTTAACATACTAAATGTTAACTGCTATCATTGTGAATGCTTCCACTCTCCCTTGTACTAATGATTTCCAAATGCTTAGCACTCCAAATTCAGTGAAAAATGTTAAAAGCTCATAGCAGAGTTCATATAAATGATAGAGTACTTCCAAATGATTCTTAATCCTTTTCTCAGCTGTGGGTGACATTCTGTAATGATATCCTGGTTTGCCTCTCAATGATAAATGCTCCTTTGCATTAATTTCTTGGCCTTTAGATCTATACTCTTGATTATTCTTTCTTATTCTTCTTTTTTAAATTTTTTTTTGTAGTTGTAGATGGACAGAATGCTTTCATTTTATTTATCTTTTTAATGGGGTGCTAAGGATTGAATCCACTTCTTCACACATGGTAGGCAAAGTGCTCTGCCACTGAGCTACAGCCCCGGCCTTATTCTTCCTAATTCTTATCCTCCATGTCCACATCAGAAGTGGGTACTGAGAAATAAGTTCTCTTGAGAAATTTCACAGGTCTCACAGCTCATTTCCTGCTGGTAAAAGTTTGAGTCCTACAGGTTCTTTTACAGTTACGGTTGTTTTGTTGTTTTTGTTTTGAAAGCCAGATTTGTGGGGCTGGGGTGTAGCTCAGTGATAGAATGCTTGCTGAGGGAGGTGGAAGGAGGTGTTTGTGGCTGACTTGGCCATAAAATTCCCTGAAACACTTAGTAGACTTAGTGTTTTCTTCCATTGGTTTCCATATGCTATTAGTCACATCCAAAGTTCTTTCCCAGGCCAAGTTACAAACAACTATCCTCTATTTCTTTACTTCCTCATCCTTTTCCTCTTTCCCTCAACTTAGGTTTGAGGCTTGGTGATTCAGCATCCCTGCACACCATAATAATCATTCATCTTCTCTGAGGAAGGATCCACTGCTTTTCTACTCAGAGCCAATTCATTGCAAGGGAAAGCCAATCCCCAACCTAATACCATCCTCAGAGGGTAAGACCACAGGGAGAATTGAACAGTGGTTTAACTCCAGATGGATTACCTTTTACCAATGTTGAGTGATCTAGATTTCCACTCACAAATATGAGCAGATTTTAAAAATCACTCATAGAAAAAGAAAATACAGGGGCTGGGGATGTGGCTCAGGCAGTAGCGCGCTCGCCTGGCATGCGTGCGGCCAGGGTTCGATCCTCAGCACCACATACAAAGACGTTGTGTCCACCGAAAACTAAAAAAAAAAAAAAAAAAAAAAAAATTAAAGATTCTCTCTCTTTAAAAAAAAAATAAAAAGAAAATACACCATATGAAAGAAGACTGATTTAGAGCAAATATCACCTACTGAAAAGGAATTAATGTAGGAACAATAAAAATTTTTAAAAATTAAATAAAAAAAATTCATCTCTGTTCTTAGTGAAATTTAAAGAGTAACAAGATCAGGTTGTCAAGAAAATGGAGCAATCTGAGAACCAGAATGTCTTTGGAAATTTCTAAATAGATGGATATTTAAGCTAGAAGACTGTAGAAGCAATATCATAGATAACTGCTATAAGCAAAATTAGGGAATTATATAATTAACTTAAAAAAATCCTTCCAGAGTTCAGAGCAAAGGATAAAGATATAAGAAAATAAAGCTAAGTGTGGCACATGCCTGTAGTCCTAACTAATCAAAAGGCTGAGTCAGGAGGACTGCTTGAGAACAGCCTGGGCAACATAGTGGGACCCCGCTTAAAAAATAAATGAATGCAGACTGGAGTTGTAGCTCGCTCAGTGGTAGAGCACTTGCCT